ATTTAAAAAAATTTACACCAAAATAATTTAAGGGGGCTTTAAAATATTTTAGGGGGGCTCTAGCCACCCCAAAATAGGCCTAGTGACACCACTGGTTTCATTAGTGAAACCTTTGGTTTGGAATAATCAAGATCTTGCATCTTAGTCAAACAGCAGTATTGTACAAGATCTGTACATGTTAGCTCTCAGAGGATGTGTATGAGATGAATCTCAGCTGCTAATACAACAAAATTTAAGTCAATATCTGTAAAATATGCTGAGTCATAGTGTTACAGATAAAATTTAATTTAATTAAATTCAGTTCATTTTTATAGTGCCAAGTCACAACAAACATCTAGGGCACTGTAAACTACAAACAATCAATCTAAAGAAGCCAGCAGGTTGTGTTGAATCACTTCATCACAGTCTCCCATCCTGAGCAAACGGTGGAGAAGAAAAACTCCCTGCTGATCAGGAAGAAACCTCCAGCAGAACCAGGCTCAGGACAGGGGGCCATCTGCCTCGACCGGCTGGGTTTTAGTGACAGGAAAGAGACACAAATGACTGGTGTATTTTCCTCTGGAAGAGAGACAAAAATGTGTCATTGACAGGAGTAATTACAGCAAACATGTAGAGGAGAGTGGCTAAAGAGAACAGCAGAGTGAGAAAATGTGGTCTGTTTGTCCTCCAGCAGTCTAAGTCTATAGCAGCAGAACTAAGGAATAACTCAGGAAACCTAAGTAACTATATGATTTATCAAAAAGAAAAGTCTTCAGTCCAGCTTTAAAAGTAGACAGTAGAGTAGTAGAATGTCAGCCTCATGGAGCTTGATAACTGAAATCTCTGCTTCCCAGTCATTTTTCTAAACTCTAGGAACCACAAGTAAACCTGCAGTCTGGGAGTGAAGTGCTCTGTTAGGAAAGTATGGAACAACAAGATGTTTAATATACGATGGAGCTTGTTTGTTGAGAGCTTTGTATGTTAGGAGTAATATTTTAAATTATATTCTAAATTTGACAGGGAGCCAGTGGAGAGAAGCTAAAACTGAAGAAATATGATCTCTCCTTTCAACTCATTAAAATTATAGCAGCAGCATTTTGGATTAACTGAAGACTTCTTAAAGAGTTTTTTGGACCCAGATAATAAAGAATTACAGTAATCCAGTCTAGACGTGATAAATGTATGAATCAGTTTTTCTGCATCATTTTTGGACAAAATGTTTCTAATTTTAGTGATATTATGCAGGTGGAAGAAGGCGGTCCAGGTAACATTTTTAATGTGGGGGTTAAAAGACATATCCTGATCAAAAATAACACAAAGGTTCTTTACATTAGAACTGGAGGCCAGATTAATGCCATCCAGAGGAGGTGAAAGGCTGCAAAGTTGATCCCTAGGATGTTCAGGTCCAAAAAACCATAACCTCAGTCTTATCTGAGTTTAGAAGCAGAAAGTTAAGAGTCATCCATGTTTTTATGTCTGTAAGACATGCTTGTAGTTTAACTGGTTGGATTCATTAGGTTTCATGGATAAAAATAACTGAGTATCATCAGCATAACAATGGAAATTTATCCCATGCTGTTTAGTAAATTTACCTAAAGGAAGCAAACAAAGTAAAGAGGATTGGTCCAAGCTCTGAATCCTGAGGAACTCCATAACTCTGGTGTGAGCAGATTCAATATTAACACAAACTGAAATCTGTCAATTTAATAAGACTTAAACCATTTAAAGATATTCCTGTAATCCCAATAACACAATGAGTTTAAGGAAATAACAAAAACTGTATTTTCAAACAAAAAAAAGCTGATAAGACAGAAAAATATGAAATATGAGTAAATAACTAAAAACAAAATATAAAAGCCTAATGCATATACCTACATTGGTGTGAAGATGCACACAAATGCATTCAAACACAACAAATGACACCTTTTAATACATTTAAATGGTCCCAAATACAACCAAGTTATAAAAGAGTAAAATCTTATATTGAAGGTAAATAAAACAAAAACGGGTGCGAAACAGTGATGAGTGCATCAACAAAAAACTGGTAATGAACAAAAAAGAACAAATAGATCAAACAGACCTATAATAAATTAACAACCGTTGACTGTTAAAAATAAAAGGCTATGAATAAAACCAAGACTGCACTTTTCAATCAAATTAAAGCAAATTTCGAAATTATTCAACTTACATAAAATAAAAATCTGTTAAAGAAGCACAATTATGATTTTTTTTTCACTGATGAGTTTTTAATAAATTGAGTAATTAAAACATTTTAGTTGTGCCACAGTACTGCAAAGTTTCATTTTGAACCAAAGCTGACAATGAAACAAAACTAAAGTGAAACCAGTGCAGGTTTTAACACTGAGGCCAAGCATCCCAGGTTGAATACCATCATCCTATTTTATCTGCCTAAACATAGCAGAGACATCCAAGACAGTTTCTGGTATAAATWCCTACCTTGTCAAGACCAGTACAGTCCTAATTGGTGGATCTCCATTTTTGGGGTTGGAAGTTTGGTTTAGGGCAAGAAGTCATGCTTAGGCTGTAACAACTGGAAATGAATGATAGTCAATGAACGGAATAAGGACAGCAATACAAACATGTGTGTGTGTGTGTGTCATCGGAGTCAAGAGTTTTTCCTAATACATTTTCCACGGTTACAGTAAAACAATAACCAGGGAGAACGTTTACAGCCACATCTCTGCTCAGTGACATTTRGCTAGAGCAAATATTAAACCGTGCAAGCGTGAGGCACACGTATTCAAACACTGTTAGGTTGGACTTTAAATCTTCAATTCTGTTTTTATCTTCCAGTACCAAATGATTAATGGAATTACATGATAAAGCTGATGACAAACTAAATTATTATTTAAATTAAATTATTTCCTAATGAAATGTTTTTWAAAAAATGAGCAGACATCATAAGAATTTTTTTCTTCTGCTGCTGCCTTTCATTTTTATTTGATTTGTATTGTTTTATTGTATGAAATGTTTTGTTTATTTTTTGATGAAATGAATAAACTAATAAAAAATTACAAGTCTAGTTTTATAGATTTACAGAACAAACTGTCAGTTTTCACATAATAAACTGAACTATAGCTAAAGGTGTCCAAAAGGCTTTTTTCATTCTCTGTAGTCAAGTTTGATGTTGTTCACTGAATGATTCAGTGAATGGGACAGCTAAATTATTCAAAATCTGAAACGTAACACCAGCTCTTACAAAGCTGGAACTTTAAAATATAAATCAATTGCAATGATTTGTAAATTTAATAAGTTACAAAGGAACAAAATATTTTTCTCTCTTTTCTAAATCACAGTATTCTGGTTTTATTTAAATTTTATTTTCCTGTAACTGGTTTAGAGTTGGCAGACTCTCATATAATCATTAAAACAATCTCCTTTATAAGGATTAACTCATTCATGGCTTTATAATTATTTACACTTTTATAACCTGTCCTGATCTGATAAGTCTCGTTGTTATTTTTATGACGTAATCGTCCTCCAGCTGCTGGTTTGACGGAGTTCTCCTCCAGGAGCTGTCCGCGGTGCTGAAACCTTTTTTTTCCCCTTTCCCCTGCTGAGCAGAAAATACCAGTCAGAACCAGTCTTCTCAAACAGAAAAAAAAATAAAATAAAATAAAATAAACCACACCACACAAAAAAAGACCTGATCATGTTTCAGTGACTGACGTCAGGCAGGGGGAACAACAAACAAACAAACAAACAAATAAAAACAAACAAACTGAATAAAACATGAAGGGATCTGATATGGTTTGTTTAGTCATTTTCCATGCTTCTTCCTCGCGTCTCCTCCTCATCCTCCATCATCATCATCATCATCATCATCATCATCATCATCATCATCATCATCATCATCATCATCAGGGATAAACAGTGGTGAGATATTTTTAGACGGACCCTCCTCCTCCCGTTCAGACTTTCTCCCGTCGGGGACCAGGACTGAATCTGGAGAGGTAGACGCGAAACTGACGTCAGAGCACCAGTAATTTGACGTGTGAACCACCCCGTTGAGTCCACACACACACGCAGACACGCACACATACACACATACACACATACACACACCAGCCCTGCCTATCAACAGTATCCGCTCTCCTCTTCAGGACCAAAAGCGCGCAGTTTGACGCTCCTCCATCTCCTGTTTTTTTACGCGCACCGGTCAGCTCGCAGTCTCTGTCCGCTCCCAGTCTGGTTGTAAATATTGTTTTTGTTTGTTTTCTTGCTTTGTTTCGTTTTTTTTTTTTTTTTTTTTTTTTTTTTTTTTTTTTTTTTTTTTT